GAAATGGCCCAGTTAATAAAGTGCTTGCAAGAAAAAGGACCTGAGTTTGATTCTCAGTGTCCATGCAAAGAGCCTGGCATGGTGGCTCACTTGTGATCCCAGAACTGGGGGAGTAGAAACTGAATGTGGATCCTTCAGGCTCACAGGACATCAGGTCTAGCCAAATAGTTCAGTGAAAGATTGTGAGTCGAAAAATAAAGTGGAGAGTGACCAAGGAAGACATTTGATATTTACCTCTGTTCTATGCATACATGTGCACACACATAATACCCAAGAGAAAGAAAAAATTAAAGTTAACATATTTATTTCACAAAGGCATATTTATGATGCATTATGGAATTTTCTCAGAAAAACATGGAGTGGAGATCCATAATCTAAGAAATGATTTACATTTCAACGAAACACGTGACTATTTATGCTAAATAAGTTTTAGATACCAATGAGTAATGAAACAATTAGACTTAAGCAATGTTAATTTCTGGGACCACACATAATATATTATACTGGTTTGTAGCAGTAAGTCAGCTGTGAGAGTAGTGAGTGTATTATACTTAGTACTCTGCTCATAACTGGGTGCTTGGCAAACATAAACCATCAGTTAGATTATGCGGGTTGTAATAGATTTGCAGTTATTTATTAGAGAAGCACGACTTATGTATAAATACACAACTCAATATTTCACGAAAATACTAAGAATTTAGGTGTTTCTCAATGACTTTGTATTTGAAATACATATGTCCTAGAGATACATATACACATCACACATATGCTTCAAGTTTTCCCATCACCTAAAGGCACTTTTTTGTCTTTTGCAAGTAACTTCAAATCCACATTCATTTATACATACTTACTAATTTTTTTAGAGTTGTAATGGGAAATGTGTGAAATGTATGACTATAGTTTTACACACAGTTATCAAAATAGAATATTTTCCTATAATGCCGTTTTCCTACTTTTGAGAATATGCAGCTAAGTAGGAGATAATAGAAACTAATGATCTTATCTAATATATGTACATATATACTATTTAAGGAAATCAATGAAAAAGAACACGAGAAACCTAAGCCTAACTCTGAATTAAGGCATGGTAGCCCTGTAAGGTACATGTCACAAAGCCTAGAGTTAGCATTGGCAAAATAAAGCAGCTATTGAAGTCAAACTCACTAGACATATAATGAAACAATAATGCATGATTCCAGGTTCATTAAGCTAATGCATTTTTTGAAAAACAAAATATGACAGAACATTTCATTATTGACACAGATATGAGAAAAAGTGTTATACTGCTATTTATAATGTGTCCTGTGTGTCGTAGAATTGAAATATTTCCAAATCATCAATAATTAAAATGATGAGAATCCATCATTTCACTGACATTTACTTCTACATGAAAAGCTGTCCTGTTTTAAATGTGCTCACACATATTCTTGTCAATCACAAGCTGTCACAGCAAATTATTTCATTTGGTAGATCACATGGCAGCTAGCAGAAAATCTCCAGGTTTAAATGCAGATCTTAGGTGTAGTATCGAGAACTCCTTTCATGGATATTTTTCCCCTGTGAATACATCTTACAGCATGTAAGGGATGAGTAGTCTTACCCATAATACTCAACCTTCAGTCTCCTTAACAAAGCTCAGGGTAGAAAGGAATTGCTATAAATGAGAGCCAAATAGCAGAGTAGCATATGTTAAGAGGTGAAAACACAAACTCTTTTAAAAAAATCAGATTCCATACAATAGAACTTGGTCCCATCACGCCAGGGCACTGCCTGTATCTTTAGCAGATATCAAGTAGCTGAACTCTTAAAAAAAAAAAAAAAGACCCATGGAATAGATCCAGAAAGTTTTCTCTTTACTGATACCAAGCAGAGGCTATGGAAAACTGAATAAAATCTAAACAATATAACCATGAATCTGGGAGCTTGGTCAAAGGCCATTTCTGACATGATCATTAATAAATGTCAGAATCGCCCCCATGATGGAATTGTAAGAGCTTCTAAGACATCTTCATGAATAGTCTTCATATAAAACATTTCTATTTTCTGATTATTTCCGTCTTTTCTTTTTTTTTTAAATCTCCCACCCTAATCTTTCTACTTAGGTATTCAATTCAAATTACAGGAAGTAATCTAATTCTACATTTTAACAGGGAGTGCTTCCAGTCAGTCTCGACCTTGGCCTGACCTCTAAATGAGCCCTCTGTATTCTTAGTCTTTTAGAGGCAGTAACACTGGCTGTCAGCAATAATACTCAAAGGGACAATGAGAAGTGTAAACCATCAAACATACGCTGAGGGCTTTTTTCTTAGTAAATTTGGGTTACTTTCCAGAAGAGGCAATTTTCACTATCTATACTGATTTTCTAAAGCTTAAGTAAGAAAAACCAATAAAATATGAAAATATAATTGCCAAAATAGCATGCTGACTGATCTAACCTTCTTATGGAAGAAATAAAATAATAAATTTGTTCCTGGGAGAATCCATTTGATATATACTGTTGAATTGTGTTTCTACTACTAAGTTTTCATAATATGACTTACAGACCTTGTTAAGCTCTGCAAAGTCCTAGACCTCTATCCCTATGTCAGGGTTAAATACATAGTAGGCACAAAATAAAAGTGCTTATTGACTTAGATTTTATTGAATTGAGGTAAACTGAATTTAAATCAGAGAGGGGAGAACAATTACAAAGTAGCTAGACAACCATTAGTCCTTACTTTCATCTCTGCTGATCTAGCTGGTTACTTGCAAGCACATAGAAATCTCCTATAAGCTGCTGGGAGAATGAAATTAAGTTAAAATAATGACTGTGGTGCCTCTGTGCTGACTGTCTCTAAAACGTACATGCAGATGAGAAGGCTGTGTCACTGACACTGACCAGTGGCTTTACTGTTTGTCCTCAGCAGTGCTTTGCACCTCCTTGTGCTAAGCTTGTCTTCTGTCTTCAAAGTCATTCATACATGGTTTATATACCTGTAAGTGTGTGTGTGTGTGTGTGTGTGTGTGTGTGTGTGTATCTGTGTCTGTGTCTATGTGTATACAAACATATTTACATTTATGTTCTCAACATTTTGAAAGTAACCAAATGTCAGTGTTTAAGCTTATCTGGGAGAATAATTAGATGGTGACTTTCTCCCATTATACTTATCCTACATCTTTTTAACGGACATGTGATGTGCTAGTCTGTGTCCAAGCTCACCTACAATTTCTTCTCTCAAAAGACAAGACACATCTGCCACCTGCTCTGCTCCGTGTCCCAGTAACAACTGTCGAGCAGCATAAAGATTGATTATCAGTCAAAAACCATTGCACAACACCAGATTTTGGTGGGTTAAGCTTGCTGATCCAGCAAGAGATGGTGTGAAATTTTCAGGAGTGTGTGCCAACATTTTGGTGCTAAAAGAACAGCAGTGCATGTCACAATGAAACACAGCCAAAGATGTGCAGACAAAGCATAGAAGTTAGTTGTTGTTGATCTGAACTTGGTTTCTCAAAAAGATAAAATGGGGAGGGAGAAGAAATTAGCTTGTATGTTTAAAAGTCATCCACCAAGAGTAGTTAAAAATGTGACATTATTATTTTGTGCATACGTGTCCAAGATTTTTTCTTACTTTACATACAGATAACCTTTATATATTTCTTTTGTGATACTACTGTTCACTAGAAAGCATGAATTTCTTATCCTTATAAAATTAATAAAGGATCTTAGTGAAGAGATTGTGTATAAATGTATGGAGTTTTTAAAATGATAGAAACATATTTGCCTGTTAAAATGTTTTGTGTAAGCAAATGTTTCTATGGATATAAAAAGAGACAGACACTTTCTAAAATTAAAGCTAAATTTGAAAGCATGTGAGTCTACTGTCACACAGGGAGGTGCAGTGACTGCTACACCAGCAACTCCCTTTATAGGTGCCATAGTGTCCCAATTCAAGAAACTGCTTCTTTTCTGATGTCGAGTGTTACAGACATGATAGAAATTCTAGTGTCATCTCATACAGTAATATTAATGCATGGGGGTCTTCTATTGTCCCCTCTGTAATGCACTCTAGAATTAGTTTCCTTTGGCTCATACAGTCACTGCATAGGCTTGCCTTTTCTCCACCAACTTTACAGGAGTAGCAAAGAAATTGCTTTCAATGCCATTTTAGAAGCATCGGGGAAAAGCAGTCAGACACACCAGTTCTTATGGCGAGGCTATCTTTCACGTTACCTAATGCTACCATTGTGCGGAAGACTGAATAACGAGCTCTCTGTACAACACGTTTGAAAGAATGGTTTAAATTCTGATACTTTCCTTTCTTTAAATGTGTTATTTCACATTGAGAAGAGGCTTTTTTAATTTTAGAAATTAAAATTTAGACAATCTCACACATCCAAAATCTTAAATATAAGGATATGGGAAAAAAACTCTGAGCAGAATCTCTGTCTGAAATTCTATATATAAATACATAAATATAAATATTTAAAACTTAATTAATATTGAGCTGCATCATTTTCTTTGTGAGTAATGTTACTGGGGGAATCACATGTACATAGAATTATTTGTTCAGTTACTTGCCACAATTTCTTAATTATGTTAATGCAATCTGAAAAAAAAAGACCAAGAGTGTAAATGAAAAGATGATCCTGGAAACTCTGAACTATTTTCTGAGAGCATACATCTAATGAATTATGTCTGCTGAGTGTCACAGAAACTAAACAGTAAATTCAATAATCTCTGATTTAATTTATTATATTTTCACCATTTAACCTCCTGCAGGCTCCCTAATGTCTATTCAGATCTATATTAAATTAAGCACCAATGCTAATGAAGGGCAATAAACGTGGCTGTCAGTGGATTTTTCTTTCATTAAGCACATTATCCTCTTACTGAGCTGTAAATGCGTAAACATTAGTTTTGTTAAACCATGCAAAAAAGACAGGAAGAAAATCATTTTTAATTGCATTCCTTAAGCAATTTATTGTGGAGGAGTGTGGTATTTCTTTTTCCTTTTTACCTTTAATTTTTTTGAATGGATCTAAAAAGGGCTCTCCTGTTGAAACGTAAACGTTGGCTTCATGGGGTATATCTTCAGGTTTAAAGGCTTCTGAGCCATCTGCCAAGAACACTCGTCGTGCGGCCATGTTTAGATTCAGTCTGTGTGTGCATGCTTCCAGCAACTAGAAGAAAGTAACAGGTAGGGCACAGTGATCTACAAAGAAGGCAGCACATTCACACAGAACAAAATAGAAAGCCAATGGAGTCACACGTCAGGTTCCAGAACTCAATCAGTTCTGTGACTGTTTTCCAGCAGTTGAAAATGTGGGAACAAAAAACAAATCAAATGGTAAAACTATCTCATTAATGTCTAGTTCTACTTATAAACATTCAATGTTTTAACAATTCTCCAAAATGCATATCCATTGTATTTGTTTAATTAATCTGCTTAATTACTAACCACAGTGTTGTATTTACTTTAAAGTAGAAAAGTAGTAAAATTCCTGTGACTGTATAAGCAATGTACAAATTCAGATTTACACAAGATTTTAACACAATAATCGTTTTTCTTATTTGTTTGTATTATAAAGAGAATAAGAAATAAAGAATTGAAAGCATTGGGATACTAGTTACCAAGGCGATGGTTGGTGCAGCAATGTTGGCAAAGACTGTTCCAGATCCATTTTTGTAAGCTGTCACTCTAATGATTCTTGGTTGACGTTGATATCCCACTTGGCAATTGTGGGGTGACTTCGGTTTTAGAGAGGACTCTGATGCTCTAAAAGAAAAAAAAATCCACAAAACTTGGTGCATGATGCTAATCATTTAAAACTTTTAAAAAATGCTTATTCCACAATTCTTTAATATAAGCACTTAAAATTGTTGCTACAAATAAGATTCCACAACAAAACTTTTGATACAATGAGATCAGCACTGTTTAAGTACCCAAACACACAATAGGATGTTTGCCAAAACTGTTCCTCTCTCGGAAGGAATCATTCTGGCCATTTTCTAATAAAACCCCACAGCATTATTTTTGTAAGATTATGTACATTAAGAATTAGAGCCGGTCAGACGCCTACCATGTTTGACAGCCAAAACAATAGTAGGGGCTTAATATCACAGGATATTAAGTGGCTAGGATTTTTCCACAAGTGTTTACTATTATGAAAGAAAGTTCTTTAATTTTTTTAAAGGATATAAAAAATTAGTATAGGGTTATTATGATGAAAACTTGAACTCAAAGTTAACTTTATTGCCTATATTTTTACAATTTCAGGTTGGAGGCAGTAAGAGGTGAGATTTTTTTTTTAGGTTTTATCTTCATTCAATACCAGTCTTGATTTTTTTTTCGAAAGGACATGGTAAACTGCCAAAAATATTTCATTCAGAATTCTCTAATCATTTTCATTTACAAGGCTGGTAAAGTCAACATTTTAAAATAAAAACTTGAAGTAAATTAAGTTAAAACTACAATATACCTGTATATTCAGAACCCTAAATGCAGTGGAAGTCTCGGTGCCTTAGTTTTCACCTGTGCCACAGTTTCTTCTGCCCACTACCTCTTAGGTTAACAGCTTGCAGTACTCTAAAAATGTATGTACCAGACAGTTTTATGACTACATTTCTGTTTGATTATGCTCCAAAGTATTGGTTAAATACCAAAAGCATACATTTCTATTTCAAATAAATGTCTTCTAAGCGAACACTCTGCCTCCAGCATTCTTTTCAGTTTGTGATGACCCAGGTTGGAGTGTATGCCATGTTTTCTAAAATGTAATTAGCGACACTCTGACTCCAGTGTTTTCAAAGTAAAAATCCAATAGCAGAAGACAGAACTCAAACACAAACGATATGCTATGTGTTAATGTCTGAAACAGTCAATGGAATCACTATAAATTCTGCTCAAATAGAAGAGCTTCAACAGTTGGTTATAAAGAACAGCAAACAGCTTTGATTACCTCGACTGACCCACCGGCGCACTGACAGGTCTGTTTCTCTTGGATGCAGACATAAAACAAGAATTGTTTTTACTCTTGGATTTGCAGCTATCTGAGTTTGATGGTTCCTCCTTGCTGTGATCTGATGCTGTTTGATGTGTAGAACAATCTTGAAGGCCTGACCCTTCTGATACAGCCGCTGAATACAAAAGTCTGTTGGGGCCAAACTGAAGTTGCCAACAACCGTCAGTAGTTTTAATAACAGCTTTTGCCTGGTTTGGCATAAGCTCCCTAAAAGACACAGCACGTGTAAGAGTCCAACGAATCCATTGTAATAATTTATTAACATCTACCATGCAATATCAGCTAGACAAAAGTGTTCCTCGGTCAGGATTTTGAGACTTGTAATATTCCTGGAAGGAAGGCAGTATTTGCAACTTCCCTTTACACTTAAGTTGAAAATCAGAAAGGGTAAGTAAACATATGTCATCTGCAAAGACAAGGTAGAAACTTGAATCCAAGCCTGCCCTACCACTGAGGTTTATTATTTTATTTAGTTAAACTAAAGAAATTTGAATAATGATTTAAAATGATAAGAATTTATAATTTTATGATTTATTTTATTAAACAATCTAAGGACTAGGAAACAGTTAAAGAGATATGGTCCCTATAGGCGTAAGACTTGCAAACTATCGGTTAGTAGTGAATATATTTTAAGTGAATATATGAATGCATATTTAAATGGGCATTTTATTTAAGAGAACTGGCTTAGCACAAGTGAGAATAGGGTTGATAGGAACTGCACAGATGGTTCAGCAGTTGAGTACTGACTGCCTTTCTAAGGACCTGCACCAACATGGAGGCTTACAACCATCTGTGATCCAGTTCCAGGAGATGCCCTCTTCTGGCCTCTGCAGACACCATGTATACACATGGTGCACAGACACACATGCACACAGAACACCCATACATATAAACATTTTTAAGGAAGGTGATTGAGTTGGTATTGGGATGACTCACTCATCCCAGTTTACCCAGGACATCTGGGGTTCTGGAGTTGAAAGTCATATGCCTCAGAAAAACTGGGACAGGTGGTCACCCATGCCCCAGTATTCAAGGTACATGAGTGGCATAAGAAGAACAGGAATGTATAGACACAGTACCATATTCCCTGGGATGATACAGCAACAGCAAGTCACAGTGGTGGTTAGAGTTTGCCAGTTTAATCATATTGAACAAGCTTTGGCATACTTGAGGGAGGAAGAGGCATACAAGATGCTATGGCTTCACACAGGTCTCACACACCTGTAACTAGGACTACTCAAACATCTACTAAGTCAGTCTCTTCCTTCTTCTGGGATGACACTAGTGTTAGTCAAGGCTCTTATACAGATATACTTGATATATGTCACATATATATATGTGTGTGTGTGTTTATATATGACATTATACAATATTCATATATGTGTGTGTATTTATGTGTATGTGGGATTTATTAGAATGACTTACAGGCTGTGTTCCAGCTAGTCCAACAATGGCTGTCTACCAGTGGAAGTTCTAAGAATCTAGTAGTTGTTCAGTCCTAAGATGGATGTTGCAACTGGTCTTCAGTATATGCCAGAATTCCCAAGAAGTAGGCCCTATTGCCAGTGGAGGAATGGACTTGCTAGTCACAGTATGGGCAAGCAGGCAAAGAGAGAGCAAGCTTCCTTTTTTCATATCCTTTATATAGGCTGCCAGCAGAAGGTATGGTCCAGATTAAAGGTAAATCTTTCCACTTCAAAAGTTCTGGATCAAAGATGCAACTTCCCACCTAAACGATCTAGATTATAAATGGGTCTTCCCGCTTCAAATGATTTAATTAAGAAAAATTTCTTCACATTTGTGCCCCTACATTTGGGGGAATATAAATTAATTTTATCTAATTATGATTCTAGTATTATAAAGACAGAAAATTATTATGACTTGGTAGGTGATAAAACACAACTACATTTAAATAAGTGGGTCAATAGTGTATTTATTTATGACTTGATTTTCCCTAAAGATTTATATCTGAAGGCAGAGAAAGGGTAGTTGGTAAGAATGGTTTTTCTTCTCATTGTCTCTATTTTAGTAACATTAGTGAGCCTTATTGGCTTATTATAGCAATTTTATGAAAACTAATAAAAATCATACTTTTCAACCTCACAGATACAGACTGAGAGTAAAAGTATTTCCATGCCATCCTCTAAATCCCTCTACTGTCACTACAGTGCAGGACCTTTTATAGCTCTAATCTGAAAATCACATTCTTCCAGGTAGTCTGTAATCATAATTACACTTCCTTCAAAAGTGCTAAGTGTTAACCTGAATTCAGGACTTATTTTTTACAGCCATTTGCACTAAAATAATTATGAAGTAGAAGACCAAAACGTTTAAACTAATATTCACACATAAACTTAAAATTGCTAATTGTTATTAACTGTAAATTAAACATCCTGGTTACTGCAAGAAGAAAGTCATGGATTAGCTGCATAAAAAGGGCTTCACGAGGAGATGTGATGCCTAATTCCTTCACATGGGGCTCCAAGCTGCCTGACATGGGTGCTGGATACTCAATTCAGATCCTCTAAAAGAGTATACATGATCCTAACTGTTGAGTGATTTCTCTAGTCCCAAGGGTTAGAATTAACAGGCTTGATCTTGTACAGGTCTTGTGTTGGTAACCAAAGCTGGTATGAGCTCACATGTGCAAAAGACACCTTATATCCAGAAGACAGTGATTCACAGCACTCCTCCCCATCTTCCACCTCTTGCAGTCTTTCCATCCACTCCACCATGACATGCTCTGAGCCTTTGAAGGGAAACAGAGTCACTCTTCTTTTAGGGAGGTAGCTACTGGCAGGTTGCCCATGGTCCAGTGATTTCCCACAGCCTTGTGCACATGGGCAGCATTAATGGGACTCAGCGGGTTAAAATAAATAAAAATAATGAGAAAGAAATAACCTTTATTGTAAAAAATGGTTAGGGATACAGCTCAGAGTAAAGCACTTGACTAGTAAGTTTAAAGTTCTGGGGTTGATCTTGAATGCTGAGGGAAACGGGTGGAGGGCATGAATTTGTATACTGTTTTGCTTGCTTGTTATATGATTTGAGGTGAGTTGTCTCTACTCATAGGAGAGCAAAAACCCCTGCATTTATATCTTTTAAGCAGTGATTTGTATGCAGAAATTACTTTTTGCCAACAATGGCACTGTGTAAAAATGTATCACATAAAGCAACTTACAAAAATAATTTAAGAAACAAAATATTGAACAGCTAAAGCCAGAAATTCCATCAGACAATGTTGATTGTTGAACTAACCATTATTTCTTCTATTTTACTTCGATACAAAGCTTCAGTCACACTGGGGAACTCAGTCTCCTCGTATGTTCATGTAAGGTGGCCTCTGATCAGCCTCAGTGTGCAAATGCCCAGTGGTCTAGAGTCAGCAAGGAAATTCTATTTCCCTTGTCCCTGGAAATTAAATAATCTGCTTGTCTATAATTTTAGCCAACGAGACATGAGAAGCCTTCTAGGCAAAGTTCCTTTTGTTTGGTGGGTTTTGGTCATCCAAACCACTCTCTTCTTTCTTTCAGATACCGTTGAGTGAACATGTGTTGATCTATCTGGCAAGCAGGAGGGGCCAAGCAAAACGAATTGGCCAGTGTTCTGAGGATTGCAGGGGAAGGTGTGAAGAGCCTGTCTTTTTTATAACACCACTGAAACAGTAAAATTAATACTATAGTTACTTCATGAAGTTCTTCAGTGAGGTAATAAAAACTTTCTCATTTTTAAAGTCACTTTCAGCTGAATTTTCTATAATTATTCCCTTAGCTTTCTACTACTTTCATAAAGGAAAATATATTAAATATAATGCAAATTCAATATAGTACACAGGTAATAATCTGACTAATACTTTCTTTGGTTTTAGTTTTAATAGAATTTTTACTAATACTGAATTTAGAGGATAAAACATAAATCAATCTGTTTTTTACTAAAAATCCAATTTTCATTTGGTCAAAAACATTTCAAGAGAAATTTTAACATAAGCATAAAATGACAGGGAGTTTTTTTTTAACCCCCAATCCCTTTGAACACAAAGCATCCTTGGCAAATTTAGATTTCTATAGAGTAAATCTGCATGTGGCTAATACTTCTATTCATAAGTGAGAAGTGTGGCTACTGTGACAGACCATGGCTCAATAACAAATATGCAGGTCTAACTCATCACAGAGTTTCGATGTGAATTCAGCAGCCGGATAATGACAGTTGCCAGGGGTTTGTCCTTGCCGTCACTGCATCCTAGTGTTGCCTGTCAAAATGTCTCTTTTTCTTATATAGAAGCCATAGAATTGTTATGGATAGCAATTACTTACAATATACAATGAAGTACATCAAATCTAACAACTACTCTTTAGCCCTTCATTATTTGGTAGAGTCTTTGTTAAATGTATCAACCATTTTCATCTAAATTATTTATTTATACTGTATATTTGACAAGCATACATTTCTTGCTTTATATTCCAATGGCATTTAAACCTTCCTAAAGGGCTATGCGTTTTTTTTAAATTATCATTGTAAAACTTATCTTTATCCTATTATCACTTTAATGATAATTAAACTCTCTAATTGGAATATACTCAAGTAAGAGTACATAAATACCAAGGAAAATGACCATGAGTATGCCACACAGTTAAAACACTATAATGCAAGTAATAAATAAACAGGTTAAACATTTGCTTAGTATTTTTTTTAAATAAAATCTCTGGCATGCACAAAGCACAAAGATGCATTAAACTTCATTTGCCCACCCCTCAGCTTACTTAAACAGCCTCCAGAGATACAAATAGTATCCTTCAATTTTTCTGATAAGATGTTATTTGAACATCATAGAAAGTGAATATTCATGATAATAACAAAAATGCAGAATTCTATGTAGAGTTTATTTCCAACACTAGAAGAAAAGCAGGGTAGCCTAGAATGTAGACGAAGCTTCTCCAACTGCAGAGCAAGTTCAGACTACCTTATAACACACTGTATAGTATGCAGACTGCAGAAAGAGTAACACACCTTACCCATTCGTACCTCTGGTTACTTTGGCAAAGACACTGTGAGCAAAAACAGTTCCTAAGATTAAGGTGTGTGAGTTTCCTTATGACCAGGGGAATAAAACATCCCATGTAAAAGGAAAGCATTTACCTATGTAAAAGTACAAAGAAATAAAATAAGATATGTCTTATATCTAAAATTGGATGAGGTTATATATACTTCATGTAAGTTTTCCCAGAATGGGAATCCCCCAAAAGGAAGTTGCCTGGTCTTTTGTTGTGTTTTAAAGGGAACAATATACTAATGTCTAGCGCTGTCAGGATTTTTTACAGGCCTTGAGGAAAACTCTGAACAAAATCATGAATTGAGGAATGTGTGACTTGGGCAACAGTGAGAGCAGGGCCATGTTCCACCCTTGCTGTCCTCATCTCTCCTCTGCCACCCAAGGCATCATGGAAACTGATAGCTCCTGTTTGGAATGATGTTACTCTGTATAAACTGTCCCTAGAAATAGCGATATGCCCAAGTGTTTATATATCAGAGAAGCCTCATCACAATATTCAAGATAATTAAAATGACATTGTAATAACAGTGCACAAAAATATATGAGTGTCCTTGAAAGCAGTTTTTCTTGTTTTTTTTTTTTGAGACAAGGTTTCTCTGTATTGTTTTGGAGGCTGTCCTAGAACTCGCTCTGTAGACCAGGTTGGTCTGGACCTCACAGAGATCCGCCTGCCTCTGCTCCCAAGTGCTGGGATTAAAGGCGTGTGCCACCAACACCTGGTAAAAGCAATTTTTTAAAGTTGCCTAAATAATCTTCAATAACCAGTGTACCTACTTAGACTCTCATTTAAGTCTAAGAAATTTGCCTCCTCAGGGGGTTGTAGAAGTCAGTAACACACTGAGCTTCCAGGAGATAAGACATAGTTTAACTTTCTATTATGAAATCCCCAGCAGGATTGACAGTTAAAGATCATTAAAGAAAAATATATTATATGTGGGATAGTAGATATTGCTTAAGATACTCTCTAAATTTTTTTAATGCAATTGTAATTTGGAATTGCAGAGGCACCTTCTACAAAATGGTGAAACTGCCCTGGGTATATACTACTGATAAACTATTGTTTGTGTCATCTACGTCTGAAAGCTGGTGCCATATTCTGGGTCAGTTGGGAATATATCAGACCACAACTGAACAGAAAAAGCCTCCTATTGCCCAGATGCCTGGAAAGAGTCATAAAATGATAGGAGAGGATATGTCCATGTGAACACAGCTTGGTGTCAGTTTTCTGGTGCATCAGCTTTGTTACAAACAAATGTGAAGGGGAGCAGAGGAACACAGACAGAGCATCAGAATGAAGGAAGATAGCCGGATATGAAAATATAACAGCTGGGTGGTCGTGGTACACGCCTTTAATCCCAGCACTTGGGAGGCAGGCATATCTCTGTGAGTTTGAGGCCAGCCTGGTCTACAGAGCTAATTCCGGGATGGTGAGAGCTATTATACAGAGAAACTCTGTCTTGAAAAACCAGAAAAAGAAAAAGGAAAAAAGAAGAAAACTACTCTCTGATAATCACAGTAACATCAAGGTAACAGAACTGTGGATATTGTCTCCAACTTTCCATTCCATGTACATCATTATGAAAGGTGATGTAACGGACAATAGCAACAGAAAAGCAGTTATGATTTAAACAAAGAAATGGAGAAGCATACTGGGGAAAATAAATAGCTAGAGAAAGAGGCAGCAAGAAAACGTCCCACAGAGGAAGCACAGACACAGCACAATAGATAAGGCCAGTGTTAAAGAGAGGGGCAATGAGATGAAAGGGCAGGGGTGGGGAGTCATAGAAGCTGAATAAATAAAAGCGCACTTACCGCTACCAGAAAAAAAAGTATCTAAAATCACTCAAAAGACAATTGGAGTGAAAAGTAAATTTGGTATCAGTTTGAAGTGGAAAATTGGGAAAAGTATAATTTAAAAGCAATAAAAATATACATTGTACATTAGAATTCATTCTGTGTTAAATAAATCAAATTATTTATCACTTTTCTCTTTCTCTCAGGAAGAATAGGATTGTGAGCATGCATGTGTTTCTGTCATGTAACATACAGGATACTGGGTGTGCATTTTTAAAAATCTATCTAGACATGTAGTACTCTCTGTAAAGGACCTATACCCTGCTGCATGACATCACAGCTAGGCAGATATCATATATGCCTAGCACTAGCGGGAAGTCTTGGTTCTGTTGGAAGCCTTGCTCCAGATGGGTTCAATGACCTGGGATGGATGTGTGAAGTCAGTGCTATGAAGAGGCTGTGACCACCTGTTGTTCAAACAAGTGACTCTGGATAACATGAGCTGTCTTTATTTATATAGTTTCAATGGTTCCTGTGAACATATTTGCAACCAGCTTTTAATTCATAAGTTTCTACAAATGATTACAATAACTACCAGTTTGTTTCTTGTCTCTTTTTCCTTCTGTCTCCCAACTCTCACCAGTAGCTATTACCTTTTTTATCTATATTTTTATGGTCAGAAACATAAGCAGTTTTGTAAGCTATTAACAGAACTTTTCTAGCTGGGTGCATCTACAGGTGGAACAGTGTGCCCATTTGGTAGCACATTCGATTACAGTGTCATGCAAAGTGAGAGACAGTTTTTATCTTGTGGTTAATACTTACATTTGGTAGCGTTGTGTTCCTCACAATCAATTCACTAGCCAAATATGGATTAATTCATTCTGCATTGTGTACCAGTCTATCTCCTCTGGGGATATACCAGGTTTTTCCAATTATCCTATAGGCAACATAACCTGGAAACTTACTCTTAATAGTTGTCACTGTTTGTCCCTTATCCTTATTTCCATCTTCCTTAACTTCTTGGGATTTGGCACAGTCATTATAAATGAGGGAACTGTGGGTTTTTATGATTCTGCTTCATCTGTTCCTTGAATGTTCCCATTAACTCCTGGTATCATCTATTTAATAGAATTTCTTTAAAATGTTTATGGTTAAAATTATTTTTTCCAGAAAAGTTGTACAAGTATGTAATAATAAACTTCATGACATACTGTGACTTGCTCAGGCCAGTAGTAGGGCTAGCATGGTGAAAACAAGGAGAGCATGTGGCACATTTGCTCCTGTGGTCATGCTCAGAATCATACAGTGAACTGTCCACAGGACCTTGCCAAGTGGCTCAGGTCCTCCAGCGATTTGCCACAGGAGAGCCATTTATGCTATTCTCAGGCACTGTTCCCCAAAGAAGTCACATGGATCCCTGCAAGGTTCCATTTTTATCTCAATCTAATGACTCTAGGAAATAAGCAAATATCAAGTTGCAATAGTAAATAAATATGATCCAGCATTTCTACAAGGAGATGAAAGTGTTTAATTCATGAAGCATTCTGGCTATTGCCTCATAGTCTCAGTTTTATACCTAACATAAAGATGACATCACATTTAGTCAGCCAATAGCTTATCAGCATTTGGCATGTATTTTAAAATTGTACTAGACATAGTCATATTAAGCAAAATTAGTCAAACTTAGAAAGACAGACACTATATTTTTTTCTCATAGAAAAGGAATCTTATCATAAACATGATAAGAAAGTAGAAAGAAAATTATTATTTGAAAAGAGAAAGGGGACCAGAGAAACTAGCAAGGGTAATAGAGATGTGTATATATGATCAGATCAGGTTATAAGCATGCATCATAATGAAACCCATTCATTTATACAAAACAATCACAAAATAGGTTTTTTTTTTACTTTCCAACAGATAAAAACATTGGGGAAATGGCCTAGTCATTTCTGATTTATACTTCAGATAAGTGCTGCAGAGGTAGGTACAATTGAGTTCAAATAAGTTTTTAGAAATGTAAGTTTAGTCAAGTTAATTAAGTCTCTGGATCCTTGATTCCTCATTAAATATTAGAAATGCTTAGACTACTACTGACATATTTCTTTCAAGCTTGTTTTGAGAAACTGACAAATTGCAAGGTAAGGGCTATGCAGGTTGACTGCATACAACAAGGATTAACAGACATTATAGCAATGATCAATATAGTGACTGCTACCAATTCAAATCAGAGAACTCTTAACACAGTTGACAACCTTCATAACCACCACATTTCTATTATTTATATCACTCTCTTCCCACCCCCAGTTTCTGAATAAACACTGACAGACAGCTTTCTATGTGCATGTTTCTCTTTATGATTCAGTTGAAGTAGCTAAAACATTACACTTACTTTGGTAAACAACATGGAATGTCTTGAAGATGTATATGCAGTTGATCCTGCTATGCTCAGGGTAGATGTAGGACACTGGGCTGGAGGCCTCTCCTGCTTTAGTTCAGGACGAAAGCAGCCTGAGCCACTGATCTTAGTTTAGGATTTCCAGCTAGGAATGAGGAATATATATTATTTAATTTAGAAGTAAAATCCTCCAGGGTTTCATACTGAAGGTAGAAATTAATCACAAGATCTATACTATACAGCAACTATTAAATACACTTAATTAAAACTAACATTGAAATGAAACTAAAGGAAGAATTTTTTTATCTAAACCTATAACTAGTATTATCCTATTTAACAAAGAAACACATGCTCATTTGTTGCAAAGTGATTTTATTTTTGCTGATTGCTGTCAACCTCCATATGTAAGCAACTTGAGGAATATTTTGCTGAAAAAAAAGTACAGCATGATGCATTTGATCTACATATTTCTGTCTTCCCCTCATCCCTTCTTGTCTGAAGCATTCCTTCCTCCTGTTTCTGATAGAATTTTCAATTGTGCAGCCTGGCCTTCCAGTCCAGGAAATAAATATCCCCAAGGCTATCAAATGAAAGTACTACTCCTAAGACCAAGGATTGGTAAGGAGAGGAGGATGAAGAATGAACAGTGCTCTCTTGCCTAAGACTGCTTACTTTAAGAACACAGTAACCTCTACACCCAAAAGGAAGCCAACACAAATTCAAGCAGACATGAGAGATAGAAAGTAAGAGAGATTCCTGGTGGCAGCATTTGAATCCCTGAAATCACTTATTAAAAGAAACCATATCTCCTGAGTATTTTTGGCAAATAAGACATCTACTTCTCCTTCTGTTTGAGCTGGTGTGAACTGGGATTTTCTTATTTGCATTCTAGAAATCTTGCATAACTCAGAGGCAACCTAAAACAACTTAAGCCAAAATAATATACTCATTAGACAAATGCCAAAGACGCTATCTAACACTTGCTTTCTAAGGTATAACCATGCACTCACAATTCTAATAAAGTAGCCAGAGTTGTGCTCTAATGTACCTCACTAAGGCAAGGAGGAGGAGGAGTCCCACAGTAAGATGACTTAGTAGGACCAAGAAAAAGATACTACTTTCAAGGTAATAAAATTCCATAGTATATTTTTCACTGTTGTTCTGAATAAAAACATTCACCTGTTCACAGATTGTTTACTGAAGGTCCTCAGTATATCTAGCACTATTGTCTGCTTAGAAATCGTAATGAACACAACGGATGAAAACTGTGCTCATCTCTCTCAGCAGCAGGAACAGGCAATAAACAACAAACAGTAAATAAGGAAACTGCATAGACATTGACTGGAATGATATCATAAAACTTGAGGATGAAGGAGAGTGAGAATACGGAGGTGGGAGGAATTGCTATTTTAAATAAGATTTTCAAAAGACCCCTTGAAATGTAGCATCCAGTGACTTTAAAGAGCCAAGGGCATTAAGCAGCTGAACACTCAGGGAAGAGTCAGCATGCCCACAGTGTAATATCTGGCCAGTACAAAGAACAGAAAAACTAAATATACAGTTTAAAAGGAACAATGCTTGGGTGAGTTCAAAAGAGAATAAGAAGTGTGAAGTTAACATGGGTTACTGTGGCACAGCTGAGAGAAACAGAAAACAGCGGACTATTCAGAGGGGAATGATAGTATTTCTCTAAAAGATTAAAAAAAATGTTACTGTGCAATAAAGCAAATCTCAAGCCCCATTTCTATCACTAAGAAACTGCCCACAAAACTTGTGCAGCATTCTGGAATTCATCACTGACCATCTCAGACATGGTCATGAAGTAAAATGTACCAGAAGGAACTTGCCAGCAGTCAGAATTAGGGGTATCTAGATGATCAACCAAGGAAAGTGCTTCACCATCAGAAACTTGGCAGCACTGATGATCATTATGGGCCAGTGACTGCAGAAGGTCCTGTTCTGATTACCAAACATATATCCACTGAAACCTGTATGTAATGGGGTAGTGTGGTTTCTGCTATATGCAAATACCACATAAAAGCCCACTTTTTATACTAAACTTAAAAATTAATAATAAAAATGTGGTTTCCAATATATAAATTTATCCCAGTGTGAGTACTGTTGGCAGTGAGACCTTGTAGGTAAAAGGGGATAGAGGTAGACTTCACAACATTGGCACAGTGAGCAATCTTCTGAGGGACCCACTGAACCAGTAAAAGGTACCCCAGGCAAGCACAGCTTTGAAGGAATTGAGTGATGGTTTTGATGTGCCTCTTTGGTTATGCCCAGATAGCTGGTCAAATATTCTCAGTGTTTTATATGGAGGTAATTTCAGCTGGATCTTGGTAAAATTTCTGAAAACAGGGCCTGGTAGAGCCAGTCAGATAATGGATATGATATAATCAAAATTCGTGCAATGATTTGAATGTTTGACCCTTGACAGACTCAACATTGAAATTAAATTACTATGGTAACGGTATTAACAGGTGAGACTTTTACAAGTTCATTAGGCCAGGAGGATTCTCCTACTACAAGTGGGTTAGTAATGTTATTATTAAAAGAGTGAACTCCTTAAAATATGGGTGAATTAAGAGTCTTGCCTGCTGGGGTCTGGCCTGCTTCAGTGCTACACTGCAGGAGCCATCTATTCCAGACTCATGTCTTTGGGGCTGTGTTCAGGACCAGTTGAATAGCCTCTGCTTCGACTCTGAGTGGGGGAGTGTGGATCAGGGAAGTCCTAGCTACCCTGTGGCATTAAGAACAAGACAGGCATCTTGTCATTTCAGGAGAGCTCTCAGTCAATACTGGAGACCACTGTTTATTTAAGCATCCTCTTAAACAGCTTTCCAAAAGTGGGGGTACTGGCAGAAGACATCTATTATCATGTATAGAACTGATATCAAATATGTCCTTTAATCCTAGAGATAGCCCTGGAACGCATGTACTCAAGCTCTCAGACATTCCATAAGAGCACGTCTCACCAGTCTTCCGGCATGTCCCACTAGCCCTCAGGATGGGTGTGGGTTCACCCTGGACCTAGGTCTTTAGTTATACAAACTAGGAGCCTTCTCCACTGTGGGCAGGCAATCCAGAGGTAACCAGCCTACATATAAGAGACAATAGGAGAACTGAGCTCCTAGAATTCTGTGGCTAAGCTGAGGCATTTCTGAAATACTACTTTTGGGCCCCGACACTTGCCTTGCCACATTTTCTCATATAATTATATAGGAAGAAGGCCCTTGACAGAAACCACCCCTCAAAACTGAACTTCTAGCATCCAGAACTGTAGGGAAATGGTCCTTTGTGGATTGTCTGGTCTGTGGTCATTTTTGCAAAGCAGCTGCACCAACAGAGAACAGAGTGATGACAGGGTTTCTTCTTAATTGGGAGGTGACACATGAAAGATGTCCTCTCTCAAGGTTAGTAGATAACTCACAGGTGTTCAAAGGACATATATGGCCTTGAACTCCACACTAAGTAAGCACAGAATAAAGAAAATATAACTAAAACCTACAAAAATCAAGAAATAATTCATTGTCCCTAAAAGAAAGATCATGTCTTTCTGACATTTTTAGACTATGTGGGTTTCAGTTTTCTCATCTGCCTAACAGGGCCATCCACATGGTGATGAGGATAAAATTAACTGGTAAAGGCACAGGAGAGTGCTTGGCATATGATGGACTTTCCCCACATGACATATGATGTTAGATGAACCCACATCAGCATCAAATGAGAAAAATGTCTATCTTTTGTGTAGCATAACAATAGAAGGTGCTTTGCTTTGCCTGGTATTCTCTACAGACTAAGGGGAACTGACCCTCTTTCTTCTTAAGCTTTTCGTAGAAGAGGGCTGAAATTCAACCCTTAAGACCTATTCCTCTCTCTAATTCTTTCACAGGTTGAGTCCTCCTAAACTGGAGAGGGCTTATAAATGAAAGTCAGCCTGTGTACAGCAAGGCAAAATTGCATCAGAGAGTAAGTCATCTTGCAGAATAAATTCTCTTGATTGTCTTGGAATGTTTAGTATTATAGCCCAATTATTTAAAAATAAAATTATGCCCAATTATGCAAAATTATCTCTTAAAATACCACAGTAGTTTTACATTTTCCTTACACCTGATGATAATCCCAATTTTCAGTAAAAGAGGTAATAATTTCAGTGATAGGTAGAGTTTTTGTCTGTAGACTGGTTTCAACATGCTGTTAGTGGAGTGAGTTATGTAAGTGTGAAATCATTATCATTATTAAATGCAGTATTTCTTCTGTACTGTTACTATAAAAACAGTGTCATCCTCACTAAAAGCAGGAGATATTCACAGGTTAAGTAGAATATGCAGAATACAATGGGGCTTCAAGTAACATTCCAGTACGTTACTAATTAAATGAGAACTAATTGTTAATTAGAAATTAAAGAAATAAAAATGTGTTAATTTTAATTTGACACTAAATACTATGGGACTTTAACAGAGTACAGATAAAGGCATTGCCTTATGTTTTATTAATATGTGCATAGTTTATCCATTGACACGTTGAAACCCCATTTTTAAAACTTTCTCATTGTTTTACATGAATATGCAGCCCCCTCATATGTTTAGCTTGAAGTCAGCTTTGCCTTTACTTTACAAAAGACATCTGAGTACATAGTTGTTATGGACCTGGACTCTGACATGTGAGTGTGTGGATCTGCATCCTGGCTGCACACCTTCTATGTCACTTAGGTCCAGTCACCTAGCCTGTATTCTGGTTTCTTTGGCTGCAAACAGAAATGAAAATAGTGGTGTAGCACATAGCAGGTGTCATGTGTCAGCTACTAAGACGATTTAGTGGTCTTCAAGATGGGGTGCTAAGTACTAAAATTACCTAGTGCTAGGTACTTCATGGAAACTTTCTGTGAGGTTTGCAAGAGTGAATACTTTTTAGAAAATTCATTTCCAGAGTCTTGTATTCCAAAACTTCCCTGAAGTATATCTGTTCAAGAACTATTTCGTCCTTAACTATATATTGTCCTAGACAGTTTCTAGTTCCCTTTTCTCAAAAGGAAAGTTTTCATTTCATGCTTATACATGATCTTTCCTCAATATAAAGGAAAGCTTCACAATTCCTTCCAGTGCACGCACGCACACACTCATGGACCCACGTACCCAT